GGGGGGCGGGGCTGCTTCTGGCCCCCACACAGCTCACCTTCTCTGCCCTAGGAGCTTGGGATGGCAGTGGGGGAGCTTCCTTCAGGGTTCTGGGACTGGCTGAGCTTCACTGCCCTAGGAGCCTGGGATGGAGGCGGGGAGCTTCCTTCCGGTTGCTGGGACGGCTGAGCTTCACTCATCCCAGCACTTCTTAACTCCCCCTTGATCTTTTCTTAACTTGTTATAGCCTAAGGCTGTCCTACTGTGACCTCCATAAAATCTGCTTTACAATTCTGTCTTTACAGGTGGCCTCTGTCAGTCTCTTGCAGCTGGGCCAGGAGACTGACAAGCTTAAAACCAGAAATCGAGAATCCATTTCTCTGCTCATGCGCTTGGTATGTATCTTGTTTAAGCTTGCCTGGGAAAAGAGAGGAAAGGCTGGAGGGAGACTTCCTTTTTTAGGGTCTTTGGGTCCCTGCCATTATCATCACCTAAAAGCATTAATAAAATTAAATTGTGCCTGACCCACTGGGTTTGTCCTCACATTCTAGTATATATTCTAGATGTCCTATAATCCCAGAGTGGAGTTTCAAGCACTCCTCTGCAAGACAGGGCCTTCTTGGCCTCTCGATGCCTGGATGCTTTTTCCTGCAATGGTCCTGAATCTGACCTCATGGGGTAGTGTTCCTTATTGAAAACTCCCTGTCTAGCATGCATTTGTTTTTAGTTGATAACTTCCAACTAGTATATTTCTTGTCTTTAAGGGTACTATGAAGAGTGTACTGGGTAGTGGAGTGTGGAACTGAAGGGGTTTGGGAGTGGGTCCACAAGAGAAGGGATTTCAGCTATTGAGGCAGAGAGGCTGGTGAGCCATGAATCAGGAAGTTTCTGCTTTGTCTTCTTCTTGTATCCCAAGCTGTGGGCTTGCCTTTCTCTGGCAGAAAGTTCTGGGAACTCTGACTCAGTTGATTTAAAAAAATATTTTTCCTCATGACCCTTTTCAACATGCTTATTCATTCTTTTGGTCTAAAAGTCTGATTCTCCAAGTTGGTTCCACACTTAGATATGGACAGGAGAGGCTCTCCTGCTCCTAGCCTGTGTTTTAGAGGCCCTCATCTGGTCTATGGGGACAGAATTTTCCCACTAGAAGCCTGTGACCCACCTGAAAGTTCAAAATGATACAGGAAAAATATCAGAAATGAAATATGAAATATTATAGCTCCCAACTTATTAGCTGTCTGATACGCAGATCTCATGTTCTCTAAAAATAGAAGAATGAATTCTAGAACAACAGAGGTTAAGAATAGGAAGATATTTATTGATAGGATAGCTCTTGAGAGGAGGGGTCCCGAGTGGGTAGCCAGGGACCCCACTTTACAGGGGAGTTTTATGGAGTGAAACCCAAGTAGGTACGAAGGGGCCACAGTCATGATTAACTAATAAGGTTATAAGTACAGTCACTTAGGTAATAGTGGTCCAGTTGGGAAACAAGTCACGAAACAAGTGTGGATGGAAAGAACAAAGACCTCTCCTAGGAAATGGTAGGTCCAGAGGTCTCTGGTCACCCACTGTGGTGGTTGATGTCTATCTAGATTTCATTAGGCCCAATGTTTGTCCTTTGAGGAAGTATGCAGGTCTGGTCATTTTGTCTTTATCTTGAGGCCCTGTCTCCAACAGAAGTGTCTCTGGCAACAGTTGTGATGTGTTTCACCTTTGTCCTGACTCTTCTGAGGGCCTAAGCCCTATCTGACTGCCTATAATATTTCTACCTAACTCAGCTGCCTATAATAACACTAAAGGTATCTGGGACCCCAGAATTCTCTAGCCCTGTGTAGGGCCTTTGGTGGAACTTCTCTTCAAGTCCATCTCCTGAGGGAGACTGTGGATATATCCATAGTGCCTAAGAAATATGAGGCTGGAGTTTAGATATAGAGGCAGGGAAGGCGATGTGTATATAAAATCCCTCACACTGGTATGAGAAATTGGGAAGAAGAGGCAAGAAACTGATCCTCTCCTTTTTTTTAACCCTGTTCTGGGACAGAACTCTGAGGAGTCTAAGGATTCCTAATTCATGCTCAGATTTCCATGAAATTACAAAGGTATATTGTGAAAGTTGAAAGAGCATAATAGTTTGTTAGTTTAATTTGCTTCTTAGACATTTGTTGTGTGGGTCTCCATTTGTACTCTTGGCCTGGGTCCCCAAATGTAGGGGCAGACTCTTTTCTGGTCCCTTCCTTAAATATTCAGGCTTTGGGGCATGGTGGTGCACATCTGTAATCGTAGCACTTGGGAGGCTTAGGCAGGAGGATTGCTGTAAGTTCAAGGCCAGCCTGAACTATATTACAAGACTCTGTCTCAAAAACAAGAATAATAAAACTTTAAAAAAAATATTCAAGTCCTAAGAGGTAACTCTGTCTCAGTTTCTCTATCTCGAAAAGGCCTGGGCTGATTACGGATTATGATGGAGAAGAGAATGGGTAGGAAGGTGTGTGTGTGTGTGTGTGTGTGTGTGTGTGTGTTGCATGTGTGTGCTGGGGGAGAGGGGCAGAAGAGGCAAATGAGGGAAGAGGGAGGGCAAAGGTTAGATGTGGACTTGGTGGACCACCATGTCTGGAGCAGCATGGTTTCTTGTGCAAAAAAGTGGATAACAATCCTTATGACAGAGTGGTTAGAATTCATGAGATAATATATGTGAGCCTAGTACACAGTACCAACAACAGAAGTAGCTCTCTCTGCTGTTCATTTTTGTTTCTGGGTGATTTGGGCATCCCTCTTTATTTCTTCTGGTGGTTTTCACCTCCATAAGGTTGGAGGTGATTCACAGTTGCCACTCATTCCCACTCCTCTGCCTTGACCTCTACTCCAACCCCTGCCCCAAAGAGTGAGAAGTGCTTGTCTCTTGGGTCCTCCCAGTAAGGCTGACAGAATGGTGGAGCAGAGCTAGGACTAGGCTCTTTTTGTGCTGGAGGTGGAGGTTGGAGGGACTAGATGCTGCAAAGCAATTTAAATGCAAATGTTTTGACAGAGAAATTGGAAATGACTGGAGGGAACAGAGCTGTATTCTGAGTTAAAAGGCTACTTATGTAGCCCTAAATTCTGACCAGCACTTCTCTCCCTGGGGTCTTTCTGTTTGCTATCAAATCTGGGGAGTGTCCACCCAGTGTTGCTAGTCTGTTCCTGGCATAGATTTCTTGGGAGAAAGCAATGCCTCTCTCATACAGCATCATGGAATCGTCAATGTCAGAGCCAGAGCAGATCCTGGTAATTAGTCCATTTCTTACAATTCATAGGTGAAGAAACTGAGAAAGAAACTCTAAAACACATGGGCAGATTTGGGAATAGAAACTAAATTTTTGGTCCTCCACCACCATAAACACCTGTCAGTTAGGAGCCCTGTTATTTTCTTTCGCTTTGTGGAGACTAGGAAGTCATGGGCCAGTGGATGCTTCTTGAAGTCATCACTCATTTCCAGGTACCTGAGGGTAGTACAGTATCTGGAGAAGAGGGTTCATCTTTTACTTGGTCTAGGTTTGGAAATCTTGTCAAGCAAGGAATTCTTTCTGCTGTCAACCTGGATCAGGGCTGCAATTTTGTCAGCAGATTTTCTTGCCTTTGGCTTGCAGGGTCTGCTCTTCTGAGGCTGCTGTGTGTACTGCACATATTGCAGGTATTTGAGAACAGCAAAATCTTACAAATTGTAAAACTTTAAAGGGAAAGAGAAAGAGAGAGAGAGAACGTGTTTAGGTATGGTAGGTTTTCTTAGTGGATTTTCAGAACTTGAAATAGCACATATATTGGGGAGGGGCCATATGTGGGGTCTACCAGCTGTATGGTATGGGACACACCTCACCAGAGCATGATTTCAGTCCCTGTAACCTATTGGATGAGGAGGATAATGAAGGAAATACACCTGATTCTCCCCCAGGGATGGAGACCCTCCAGTCTGATGTTGGGTTGTGCTGCTCTGTGGAACATCCCCCTCTGCTCACCCCCAGCCCTGCCCTCATCCTTAGTCTTATCCAGGCATCCTGATCTATCTTCCTGCTTGGCTGTGGGGGCTGCTAGGATTACCACAGCACACAGGCTTGTAATTAAACTAATTAATCATGCCTGCTCCTTTATGTAGCATCCTTACTGTTCCCCAAGCACTGTAGTAAGAGAGAGAGGAGACTAAAGCCCAGCACAAGAGGACCCATGTGGATTCCAGACCCCTCTTGCTTGGCTTGCAGTGACAATTGTTTCTCTTGCTGCAGAGCTTTGTAATTAGCACTTTTATCCATCTTTACCAGCGTCTGATCTGTGCTGCCCACTCACATAGGATTTAATATCTTGGAGAGAATGTTTCTCTCTCTCTCTCTGTCTCTCTCTCTGTCTCTCTCTCCCCCTCTTTCCCTCTCTCTCCATCTCTCCCTCTCTCCCTCCCTCCCCCTCCCTCTTTTGCCCCTAGAAAAGTTTTTTTTCCCCCTCCCTTCTGCTTCTGTGCCCTTCATATTTACTCTGATGAAGGGGATATGGATGATTCTAAGGGAACTGAGAAGGCATTGCTGCCCTCCTGGAGCCAAACCAAGTGAGAGAGGAAGGGCAAAATGATTTGGAACCCTGTTCACTTGTAACTCTAAGGCCACAGAAGGTCTGGGAATCACATGAAGAACAGTGTCACAGATGTATATCCTACCAGAGGTGCTCATCTCTTGGACCTGTCTCTTCCAGGTGGTGGAGGAGTCATCCTTCCTGACTCTGGACATGCTGGAGTCCTGTTTCCCTTATGTCCTGCTTCGAAATGCCTATCGGGAGGTATCCCGGGCCTTCCACCTGAATCGAGTGCCTGCCAATACCTACTGAAAGGCCCTTTGCATCCATCAAAAGCCGTGTCAGAGTGGAAGCTGTGGTCATTTTCTCAAGGGGTGGGAGTGGGGTGGGGTCACTAGGGAGAGGGTTAGGAGCCAGAACTGATGAACAGGTGCATAGAGAAACAATCTAGGGCTGAGAAGTCATAGAGAAAGATGCAGGGCATGCTGGAGGCATGGAGGACAGTTTATGGACAGTTGGAGGACTGGGGCCACGTGTGTGAATTTTCTTTTTTTTTTTTGTACTGGGGATCGAACTCGGGTCCTTGCGCTTACGCAGCAGGTGGCAAAACCACTGAGCTAAATCCTCGGCCCGCGTGTGTGAATTTTTATCATGAAAAAACAAGCAACATATAAGTACATTTCCTATCTTCCAGTGACTAGAGCTTGAGCTCTGACAGGCATGGGCCCCTCCGACCTTCATCACTATTCTAGGATAACGCTAGCGGGCAGAGATGATCAATCATCATATTAAACCATAATGAGCTTATAATCCTCCCACTGGAGCTGCTATTGTCTCCTGCACATTCATTAGGACGATTATCTCCTCTCTTCCTTTCCCAAATGTGTTCAGCAAACATCCGACATGCTCCTACTGCAGAGGAGTAGAAAAGGGACCTCTCTTCTCTGTGGGCCTCTTCCTTTGCCTCTATTTGCCTGCTTTTCCCACTGGGATAGGGAGGAAGCACCCTCACTGCCCCAGTTGGAGTTTCACTGTCCCTCCCGCATTGTGGATAATGAGTAAATTTTCTGCTGCTCTCACCTGCCTGCTTTTTCTCTGATACCTCCACAGCCCAGAGGAGAGGGGTAGTCCAGGTTAATCCTAGGTCATGTGACAGCCAAGTGGACCAGACTCATGTGGGTTTTCCCTCCCCTATCCATTTGGGGACATTCTGCCTCCTATTTGGAGGAACTAACTTAACCCCAAATCCTCTTTTCAGCCTAGGTACAGTTGTTGCTCGAGGCAGGGATTTCTTTTCTAGATCTTAAATTTCACAGACCTCATTAGGTTGTAGGGCCCTGAGAGTTCGTATCCTTGAGGGAGTACAAGTTGTTTCAACTTAGCCCTTTTCTGCACTAATTAGAATTTCAAGTGTCACAGAGCCTGGGGCATTCAAGATAGCACTAAACTAGGTTTAGTGAACTCCATGGCAGGAAGCAGTGGCCCCATCCATCTCTGCTGCCAGAGACTACTGGAGCACCAGATCATGTACGTCACAGTCTGGAGTGGTTGGAATGGGCAAATATAATTGTCTAGTTGATTAATTAGAATCATGCCCATATTTTTATGATGAAAGGGAAGCAATTGTTGGCTGTCAGTAAAACCATCCTGCCTTTATTAAACCTACTTGATAGCTGCTTTGGGTTTTATGTGTGCTTGTTTTTATTTCTCCAGACCTGGGCTTAGTCAATACTTTCTTTACTTGGCACCCATAATCAACACACAAGTTTTTCTTAGCAGCAACTGTCTGCTGCTCTTTAGGAAAGAAGCAACAAAGAATCCTGCTTCATGCCTCAGCTAATTGTCCTTCCTTGGAAGGGCATTGGGAAGGACATTGCATTCTAAGGAGTGATTCAGTGTCAGGCCTACTGAGACTGAGTGCAACTGACGAATAAGAGAAGGCTCAGAAGGATCTAATCAATGATCCTACGTTCTTAATATCTCTGCTCATTTCTTCAGCTTGAATGGATAGAGACCCTTCCCCATTTTCATGGGGCATTACCTACCCGAATTCTCCCAGAGGACAGCAAGACAAGTTGATGCAAGGGCATGGAGGGTAAACACAGTACCCTTTTTAAATTAAAAATTTCATTGAGATAGTAAACCCATGTGCACTTGTAAGAAATAATACAGAAAGAGCCAATGTACCTTTATATAGTTTTCCTCAATGGTAACAGCTCACAAAACTATAGTACACTAGCACAACCAGGATATTGACATTGATATAATTCACTGATCTTATTCAGATGTCCCAGTTTTACTTACACTCGTTTCTCTCTGTGTGTGTATTTAGCTCTATAGAGCTTTGTCACATGTAGGTCTGTTCATCCGCCACCACAGTCAAGACTCTGGGCAGTTCGAGCATCACAGGGATCCTTCATGTTGCTATTTTATAATCACATCCACTTCCCTCCTGTAACCCCCTTTTCCAGCCCAACCTCTGGTACAACAGAGTTGTTCTCCATTTCTAAAATTTTGCATCTTGCCATATCTCTTTATAAACATGTAATTATACACCAATTTACGTACCAAGTGTACTTTTTCAATGCACTTTTGTATCCTTACAGCAATTCTGCAAGGTAGCCAGGGAGGCTTCCTAATTTCAGGTCAGGAAACAAATTCAACAGCATCAAATGACTTAATGAAAGTCCTATGTTTAGCAGTAGAACTACAATTGGGATCTAAGTCTGATGTTAGTCCTAGGCTTTCTTTCCTGACCAGACTGCTGCTTCATAAGGGAAGACTTAGAGCGCAGATCCCCAGTAGGAGGAGGTGAGGACACAGAGGACCACTTGAAACAAAGGGTGAGTGTCAAGGGGTGAAGGGACAGATAGGATAACAGAACCTATCAGGATTTCAGCAATTTGTTTCCCTGACCACTTTCTGATGTTTTACAACCTGGAGCACAGTCAGTGAGCTGGTTTTTGCTCCCAGATCCTCAGCTTGCTTTACATGGGCTCAAAAACAAGTGAGGAACAACAATCAGGAGAAATTCTGATTCTAATTGTTTTGTCTTGGAGGCAGACAGTAGGTTCTAGCCTCAGCATTTTCATTAGTGCAGTGTTTTCATTAAAGTCTCCATTAACTCATTTGTAGCAATGAGGTGGAATTATCCTTCCCACCAGGTCCAGGAGATGTGTGCCAGGTGTTCACTTTCCCTTGGGCAGGGGAGATCTTGCTGCTTCAGCTATGGTGTTGGATCTAGTGGGCAGGTGAGGAAGGCAGCCTCAAGGTGCAGAAGGTCAGAGGTGTGGCCAAGGAGACCTTGCCCTCTGGCACTTTGCCTTGCAGGAAGAAAAAAATTGTGGTTTGAGCAGCTGGACCCAAGAAGGAGGGAGATTCTGGCTAGGGATAAGGCTTCCTTAGCCTTAGGTCCTCATGCCAGGATCTGTTCTTTTCCAACAAAGTTTGATATTGAGAAGCTGGCACATGGTTGAAATGCACTCACGTTGTTGGGGGAAGAGTGTTCTTCCAGTCCTCCTCCCTACAGGTCCTCCTGCTTCTCCTGAGTACCTGTCATCAAAGGAGATGAAAATGAGTCCCCCTCAGCCCCCACACCTCATGAGTTGTCAAGTACTCTCCCTCCTACCTGCACAGGAAGCAGGAACAGCAGGCCAGGGTGCAGGTTGGGGAAGTCAGAAGTTAACTTGAGCTGAGTTTGCAGCACTGGTGAGATTGAAGAGCAGGCTTTTCTCTTGTCACTTTGGAAGGAGAGGATTGTGGGGCTACCCCTTTAAATAGCATTCCTGTAGGAGGCAGATCACTTCTATCCATCACCTGCTGCCAAAGCATCATTTTTGGTCTCTATCAAATTCAGAGCTTGTTAGAAAGAATCAAAGGGTTAGGGGAGTGAGGAGGCAGGGTTTCCAAGAGGTAGGGGGCACTTCAGAAGCTGGAAAGAAGAGAAATAGGTTGGGCAGAAGGAGTCTGGAAAAGGTGGAGGTGGGGGACAAGAGGAAAAGACAAGGAGAGAATAGCTGTCTTTTTAAGAGTCTATGAATGGAACAAGTACACTCTATTCTTATTTCTTTAGAGGTGTGGTAAAGCAGAAATGGGATTGGTTTGCAACAAGAGAACCAGGTTGAGGCTAAACACTAACACTGGTGATTAAAGAAAGCAAAAGAGCCACAGAGCAGAAAAGGCACAAGAAGGCTCAGACTTTGTCACTGTCTGTGGGACTATATACTTTTTGTGGGCTTGGTATTATCATTTATTAAGTGGAAGAGACTAGGCTAGACAGACCATAACTTCTCTTTTATAAATGCCTTTTTTTTTTTTTTTCCATCACTGGAGATCAAACCCAGAGCCTCACATATGCTAGGCAAGAGCTCTACTACTGACCTACATCTCTGGTCCAAATGACCCTTTTCTTAAAATGGTTTAGAATTTAGGGGCCTGGGAGGACAGATGAGCACTGTATTGACAGGAAATGATGAAAGATCACTTGAAATGTCTCCTGTCTCTTGTGTATCTCTTCTAGTTTAAATGCAGTACTTGCCTACATTGGGAAACTCCTTAGCTCTACTCTTAATTCTCTAATTAGAGCTTTTTTTTTTTAAAACAGAGTCTGGTATGTAGTTCAGGCTGGCTTTGAACTCATTATATAGCCCAGGCTGGCTTCAAACTCTCAATGATCCTCTTGCCTCAGCCTCCTGAGTGCTGAGACTACAGGTGTGCCCCACCACACCCAGCCTAATTAGAACTCTTAAATCCTAATGTGCAATCTTTTTCTAGTTTCCAGCTCATTCCCTTTTCAATTGATAAGGAAGGAGATTGCTCCCAAATTTTGAGAACTGGATTGTGTAGGAGTGTGATAGGGTCTTAGGTGCAGCTATTTCTTGGCCTGGTGAGGAGGGAACCTGGATATGTGCTGAAGTTAGATGGACAGAAGGGAAAGTCCCAGTAGCCTTTTCACTTTTCCTCCAACTTTGACTCTGCCATCTCCTGCCTCTGTACTTCCTGGAAGCTGCTTCTGGTGATATTTTTGCCAGATCCAAAGCACTGACCTGAACTAGCAATTCTTTTGTAAAGTTGAGAGTCAGTTGTGAGGGTCCCCTGATCCTGAATGAATCCAGGGTCCTCACATTGAGCTACATTCCCAGCACTTTTTATTTTGACACTGGGTCTCACTAAGTCGTTAAATTGCCCAGGTTGGGCTCAAACTTGTAATCCTCTTGCTTTAGCTTTCAGGAGTGCTGGGATTATGCACATGCACTACCCACCCGATTTCCATCCTTTTCGCCAGTTTACCATTTCCCTTCTGTTATTTTCTCCTCCTTCCCCTAGAAAAGGGGAGACTCCACCAGATATTTAGAAAAACAAAAACAAAAACAAAAAAACCCCCTTCTGTTCATCCCTTCTTCCAATTTCCAGAATTCTTAGAATTAAAATTCACATTTTGAGATCATGGATTAGGAGCCCTACGTTGAATCCAGTAATTAGTGAATACATCTCTGCTTTCTGTTTAGTTGGGAGTTTCCACCCTGCAGATGTAGGTGGTCATAAGGGGTGCACAATACTGAGAAAGAGCCCCAGGTAGGATGCACTTGGTTAGAAGAGGTTTTGCTAGGTCACCATCTTGTGTTCCAGTTCCATCCCCTCATTCCACGAATGTTTATTAAGCAGCTAGGCTATTTAGTGCTGGGCCTTTAGCCCTTAGATTTCCTTCTGAAGACAGATTAGGAGGAAATGAACTGGAATGGTGAAGGCAGGCTTGAAGGGAGCTATCAGGAATGATTTCTTGGCTGTGTGCAGTTATTAGGTAGTCAGGGAAGATGTGGGGCTGCTGCTTTAAACTTGGGAGAAATTCTGGTCATCACCCAGGCAGTGGTTAGAAGCACCTGGGGGCAGGCCTCAGGGACGGAGACAGATCAGGGAGATAAAGCTGAGGGGGCTGAGGGCAGATGTGAGATGCCAGCACAGCTCGCAGCGGACCCTGAACTTTTCCCTTCCAAGACAGGAGCACCAGTGGAGTCTGGTCCGGCCGGGCTGTAATGGTAGGCAGCTTCCCTAACCCGTGTAATGGGCTCCTCCCCTCCCCTCCCTCACACACTGGACACACAGGCAGCTGGGGCACACGTGGATGCACGAAACCGCATTTGCACATACAAACTCCAGCACACACGGGGGGGGGCCGCCCCCACCGCAGTCCGCCCGCCGCCCGTCGCCCGCGCCGCTCTGGGTAAACACGCACTCCAGCGCTCGCGCGGGTCTCACGCAGCAGCCTCTCGTGCCGGGCGCCGGTGCGCGCGCTCGCCAGGGCGCTTCGGGCTGCGCGAGTCGCCGGCTTCCAATCGTTCCTCCGGGAGGGGGAGGAGTGGTTGCGGGGAGCGAGAGACAGGCGCGCGGGCAGGCCGGCGAGCAGGGAGAGGGGAGAGGGAGGGGGGAGAGGGAGGGGGCCCGGCCCGCGGAGGAGGAGAGCGGAGAGGAGGCGGCGCTGGTAGCGCGCGGCGGCGGCGCGGAGAGCTCGGACCCGGAGCCCGGAGCTCTGCTGGGCAGCGGGAGACGAGGAGCCGCAGGAACTGCAGCCCTGCCAGTTTGGGCCGAGCCTAGAGACACCGGCCTGGCTGGTCCACGCCAGCCGCAGGTGGGAAGGGCCTGGGATGCGGGGCGAGGGTCTCTCTGCCAGGGGCTGAAAC